ACTTCCTGGCTTCTCCATCTCACTGCTTGCTCTTCCAGGTCTCCATCTTGGCTAGCAGTCCCCAGCATCCCCAGATATACTCTGTGGGCTGTGACTGCCCACACTCATTGTTGACTCAGGTTGGCGTCTGGCATGCATCAGCCTCACCACATCATCATGGAAAATCTTTGACTAACTTTGAATACAGTTATCTATTTCAATGCTGCACTTAGGAGTGATTCTTCAATTGTAATGTTGCTGCTGGGCTGCATGATGTGCAAGCACAGGCACTCATTTCGTGGATTAGAGCAGGTGCATCTTGAGACTTTTAACTTGTTCTTTCAGTGCTCCCTCACTTTTAAGCCTACTTGAATGCTCACAGTATCCCACCTTGCGTTGCCTCATTATGCATTGCTATATCATTCAGAATCTACAGGTTCACTGTATATCTGTCTTACCTCTTAGAACTGATGCAAAGCCAGGCAGCTTGTTTTGTTTCCCAGCAGTGATCAGTTAATGGGGCGGGCATCTTATTTTGAAGCACCATGCTATGTAAGTGTTACACCCACAACATGTGCCAGCAGCTTATGCAGCAAACAAATTTCAAGTGCTTCAGCCAATTGGCCATGTGAAAGTCAAAGGGGAGTCGTCCTTTGTCCAATCATGGGGAGCTGTCATCATTCGGGGTACCAGCATAGTGTCTCAAGGCATCGTTTAATGTCAGTTCAGGGTTTGGTCAAGGTTAATCAGGTGCTGGAGCTAGTTAGGATCAACAGTTCTGTATTATTACACACTGTGGAATGAGCCATGGTCAGTCCTGCAGATCCAATGCAAGCAGATGGGATTAGTAATAAGTCTATTCAGCAGCTGCATAAAGGACAGTTAAGGGGCCGTCATTTCAAGTCAGTCAAGAAGTGGGCCAAGGTCAATTCAAGATGAGATATTGTTCTATTTTGGGCATTGGGAAAAAGTTCCACTCTCTTACACAGGGCTCAAGCATTGTATGGCACTAGGACAGGTAGCCTCTGAAGCTTAATTCTTGTAGCTGCGGTTACATTGACAGTCGCTCAGACAAATGTTGATTACAAAGTAGCAGACCATTTATGAATGATGCCAGTGCCACCTGTGTGCTTTCAGAAGGGTTTTTTTTCCCCTTTCTCTGTGTGTATGTGAAGTGCTATTCAGGGCTGGCAGTAACTAACTTGGTGGATAGCAGTGCTTTAAATATGCCACTGGAACCTGAATCCCATAAGGTCCTGGCAGTGGTGAGAACTTTAATTGCTGGTAAGGGTACAATTGTGCAGGAGTGCCATCAAAGGGTGGCACATAATGACGTGATCAAAAGAGAATTGAGTGAGATAACCCACTAGAGATCATACAGAGAAACCCCCCACAAAATTCAGTGAAATTAACGTAACCGTTTTTGATAAAATTCAGAATATTGAATTTGAATTAAAAATAAATTTTAGTCTGGATCACCAAAACAGGACGGTGAGGTTTATATTTAAAGAGTTTAGTGAATTCCATTATTGTCTACACCATTTAGTCTGTATCCTGTTTTTGTTGACCTGTTTTCAGAACCATAATTTTGCAAATCGTTCCTCACCCAAGAGCAAATGCAGTAAGCTTGGACTCTGTTTTTTTGTCGATGGTAGTTCTATGCCAGCCACCAGGGGATACATTAACATTTTTTTCTTTGCTAGTCTTAGTCTTTTCTCCTGATGTAATTCCAAGATATTCTTCTCCATTTTCCCAGAAACCTCAATGAAGAGTTGAGGTGAAGAGTAGATGCTCACAATGTTATGAGCATTGACAAAAAAATGTACTGCTGGTTAAATGTAGTTACTCAGGAAGATGTGAACAGAAACATTCCTCTGTGCATGCTGCTTTGTAGATGCTTGGTGCAAAGTTTGTTCAGTTTCTGGTTAATGGTAACCCTAGATGCTGACTGTGAATGAAAGTGGGCATATCTCACTACATCTGTGTAGGGTGTGTCCATACCGATCTTCCTGGAGTCTTTTTCCATTCATCTAGATCCTCCACATCACTTGTACATAATTTTGTTCTCGCGTCATGAAACTCCATAACAAATCTACCCAGTTTATCCACATCCATACAACCCTGAACATTCCAACACCCATCAACTGCTGTTAAGATCCTTCAACAACTTCCTAATGTTTCCAGATATGCCTGTGGCAGTGCTGTTTGGTGCAAGTCTCCTGTCACAATTTCCATCCCTGAAGCTTTCATCAGAACACCAGAAACATTAAAAAATAGGCAAAGTAGGCCATATGGTTTTGTACTGTAAGGAACTGTGCATAAGATTGATTAGAATCAAAATATACATTCAAAAGATCTATGATTTCATGTGCAGACAAATAAAACTGTATGTCCTGGCACCTATTCCTTTTATACGTTTGCAAAATACCCCTACAAACACCCAACATCGTCTGATTCCCTGAAACTCTGGAAGGAAGGCTGTATCTTGCTGATCTCCAAAGGTTGCTGATTCTCTATTGTTGAGTACATTCATGATGAAAATCGATGATTTCCTGAGTGGTCAAAAATCTAATGTGTGGAGAGTAGTTGAGAAATTGGAGTTGAAGTAGAAGATCAGCCATTCTTGTATTGAATGCAACGGTATATTTGAAAGAACAAATGGCAGCTTCTGCTCCAATTTCAAATAGCCAAGAGTATTTGAAAAAAGATAAGCTCCAACAACAGTCAAGATGCTTGACACTATCTGAAACAAAACAGCCTATTTGACTGTTCCTGCATTCATTCCCTTCATCACTGGTTCATCTTGAATTCAGTGTATACTGTCTACAAGATGTCCTGTAACAACTCCAGTTCTTTTGCCAGGACCTTTTAAAGCCTATGATCACTGCATAGAATGCCACGTCTTTCAGATTGCACATTGTTCTCACTTTGAGATGCCATTCCATCATCTTCATTGGTTTATAATCCTGACTGTATACGTAACAGCACTTGGATGAAATTGTCTGAAGTAGTTCAAGAAGGTGTCTCCCCAGCACACCCTGCAGGTAATTGAGGGGATGAACAATAAATGGTGGCCTTATCAGAAATTGGAGCATAATAAAAATGTTCAGATATTGGTTCAGATCTTTCATTCTCTGGCTCATCAGAGACTTGATGTACAGCCCAAGATTTGTTTCAGGATCCCACAAAATCATGACACACTGATCCTTGTGGGAATTACCCAGAAAGTTGTGACTGGCAATTCCACTGTTCCCTGTGACCCTCCACAATAGTCTCTGACTGTAGACTCTGAGTTAGGATCAGAGACTTTGGATGGTTCCACAGTAGTTACCTGAATAGTAACTTGAGAAATATTAGACATATTCAAACCTAATCTAACTCCTGGTAATTATAAAACTCGCATTGATCCCCTGGTTAACTCCTGACCAGCCCTCTGATCTGACCCAACTAGCCATACCACCAATCCACCTAACCCCAACTCAATGTGATTAGGTTCCACCACACAACAATACCTCCCCAACCCAACCTGACTAGCACCCAATCAGTCAACCACTTATGACCTAACATGACTGTCCACCTGCCTGACTGCCAGTCCGACTGCCTATCATCCTGCCCACATGTCTCACTGAATCTTTCCACTTGACCACCATGCCCATCCCACTCGCCCATTCACACCAGAGATTTCATCTTGCCTTGTGGAAAATAATACTGTAAACAGGGACTTAGTTTGACCTCTCCAAATCTGTGATGGAGTTTTTTAGATGGATGTTGTACTCTTAATTTCTGGAGAAAATAGACATGGCAAACCCACTAGAAATGTAGAGCATTGGGCAGAGAGGTCCAAGTAACACAGCAATTGATGCCAATGAATGCCACTTTGTGGATGATACAGCCTATACTTTTTCAGCCTACTGAATTTCTACTTCAGAGTCAAAAGGGAAGTGCCATCATAGAAATTAATTGAAATGCTGTTTTAAGTCAACTTGCTGTAGGATTATTTTGTTTTTAATTCTATGTAATTATTGTTAAAAATTTTTTTTTGTTTAATATTAATGTCACCACTAGACTTGGTTTCCATAGAACAACAGAGTACGCATTGCTCCTGTTGACCTTTTTAATTAGCATTTAGAACAGTTTGAAACACCTGTTCTCACAATCTATTTAAGCTGTCCTGAAATAAGGTTGAAGTAAGATCTCAATCTGTTTTGAGAAACTGAACATTAGATAACATTCATTTCCTTTTCTTATTTCATGTTAACAGTAATTACTGCAAATTTTAAATTTTTTTTCCTTACTCATCTGATGTGGGCACCACTGGCTCACCATCATTTATTGCCCGTCACTTGTCTGCTTTGAGAAGGTGGTGATGAGCTGCCTCCTTGAACTGCTGCAATCCATGTGCTATAGGTGTCGTAGATATTGTCTGGTTCTTTAATGCATGTTTGTGAGTCCCTTAGAATCAAGTATATCTTTTCTATTTCATATCTAGTCTCATGATGGTGTTTTGACTCTTACTGCCAATGAAATGCCAAGCACTTTGCAATGCATTATATCATGTTAGTCACGCCAACAATCTTGCTAAAGTACCAACTGATAAATTCATGGTGCGATGAAGTGACCTATTAAACAATTGCTTTATTTCACAAACAGTAAGCAATATGAATTGTAATTATGTATAATGACTTTGAGCTTACTTTATAATGTAAAGATTTGTATTAATATTAGACATGTCACGGACACAAGTTCAACTGTAGTTGCAGTAATGACAACGTATATTTCTGTGTTCAGTATCATTACTCTGCTGAAACTAACAATGAATTAAATTTGGATATTTGCAATGTACAAGAAGGCTACATTTAATGGTGCTCCTTTTCAAAGTAGTTTCCCTTTCATGTTGCTAAGCTATTGGGACTAGAAATGTAGATCGCTGTCACAAGATTTGTTTTAACTTTGTTTGCTATAGTACTGTACCTTACCTGAACTAATTGATGCCCTATTGGCATGACCTCTCCTCCTTTCAGACTTGAGGTCACTCCCAGTCTTCCAACTTGCAACCTCTCTCTGCGCTGCTCCACTGCCCTAGGCCTTCAGTGGAAAGCCCCCATCAGCAGCAGCACCTGGGTCCACAGTGCACCAGCCACAACTGAGCTTGGTGTACCCTTGCTCTCCTGTGCTTCACGGAGCACTGACTACAACTAATCTCATCAGCCTGTATCTCCCCTACGAAAACCCCAACCCCCAACAGTGGCAAAACAATGCAGGGAGGACAGCCAAACTCTACCTGGACAAAAGCGTCAACACTCTCCAACCCCCAACCTGACCAAATCTCAGCAATTACAATCCTCCAGAAGAACCCTGGCATGTTGACCACCATCATAGAGGAGGAAATGCCAATAATGCACCAGCATCTGGCCAGCCTGGGTGAGGAAGGCCAAGAGGAACAGCTTCACCAAGCAGTGGCCCAAGCATATTCTGGAGGCAGTGGCAGCCAGCAGGAAGGTGCTGCAGACCCTTTATATAAAATTCCACTCAGAAACAGGTAACAGACCCATGGGCATCCTGGAGACCATGGCTGAAATGTAGTCTGGTACAGATACTAGGCAGCCCACCCACCTCCCCACTGGATCCACTCCCAGAGGGTCCACGACAGCAGGTGAGCACTTTCCAAAAAGAAAGGAACAAGTCCGACTGGTAACTACGGGGGAATCTCCCTGCTGGCGATCATTGGGAAAAGTAATCACCAAGGCCGTCCTCAACTGTCTCCTTCCTGTGGCTGAGGAACTCCTTCTGGAATCGCAGTGCAGCTCTGGCCATGGAGGAGCATAACGGACGTGATTTTTACTGCACAACAGCTGCACGAGAAATGCAGAGAAAAGAACCTACCCCTGTACATGGCCTACTTCAATCTTAGAAAGGCCTTTGACACTGTCAGCTGGGAAGCATTATGGAGTATCCTTCTTCACTTTGGCTGCACCACGAAGTTTGTCACCATCCTTCGCCTGCTCAATGATGACATGAAAGTCATGGTAATAACAAATGGCTCCGCCACTGATCCATTTCCTGTTTGGACCGGTGTCAAGCGCGGCTGAGTCATCGCCTCTACACTGTTCTCAATTTACCTCGCTGCAATGTTTCACCTCATTATCAACAAGCTCCCCAGTGGAGTGGAGCTAACTTACAGAACCAGCAGGAAATTATTCAACCTCCACCACCTTCAAGCCAAAACCAAAGTCACCCCAACCAGTGTCATCGAGCTGCAGTATGTGGATGATGCTTGTATATGTGCAAACTCTGAGGACAACCTCCAAACCGTCGTCAGCACCTTTTATGGAGGCATATGAGAGCATGGATCTCACCCTGAACATTTGCAAGATGAAGGTCTTCCAGCAACCTAGCCCAGCATTGTGGATCGAGCCCCCGATTGCCAAGGTCCATGGGGAGGTCTTAGATTACGTTGGCCATTTCCAATACTTCAGGAGTGTCATGTCGTTCAAAGCAGATATTGATGAAAAGATCCAGCACCACCTCTGTGCTAGCGCAGCCTTCAGCTGCCTGAGGAAAAGAGTGTTCGAGGACAACATCAGATCCAACTCGAAGCTTATGATATACAGAGCAGTGGTGGTTCCTGCATTCCTCTGTGGCTGTAAGATATGGACTATCTACAGCAAACACCTTAAGGCATTGCAGCAGTACTGCTGCCTACACAAGATCCTGTGAATCTGCTGGGAAGACAGTGCACCACCATCCTTGACTAGGCCAACACTACTAGCATCGAGGCACTGATAACTCTTGATTGGCTGTGACGGGCTGGGCATGTTATCCACATGACTGACGCGCAACTCCCCAAGCAGGTGCTCAACTCCAAGCTCCGAAATGGCAGGTGAGCTTCAGGTGGATAGAGGAAGTGCTTCAGGGATATCCTCAAGGTCTCACTGGCAAAGTGCGGCATTCCCACCGACACCTGGGAATCACTGGCCCAAGACCACCTAAGTGTAGGTGAAGCACCTTGAGATTTGCTATCAGGAAAATGCAGAAGCCAGGTGAAAACGGTGTGAGGAGTGCGCTGCCACACCTATGCCCCACACACCCTTCCCCATGACCACGTTTTGCCCCACGTGTGGCAAGTCTGCAGAAGCCACATCGGACTGTACAGCCACCTACAGACTCGCCCCGAGGGTGAAAGAGAGTCATCCTAGTCTGCGAGGGGCTGCCAATGAAATGAAATATACATTTTTCCAATGGCTTGTGGAACAAGAACGCCATCGACACCGCTGCTGATGCCACTGCCTCCATTTCTGAGGCCTACACCACCGACACTGAGGACGGACCTGCCAACACCACTGCTGCCGCCGCCGACACAACTCCGCCCACCGCCAATGCTGACGTCGCTCCGCCCATCACCGACGTCGCTCCGCCCACCGCCTCCACAGCCAGCAGCTCCAGAGAAGACAGTAGTGCCCAGCCCTGCTGAGTCCTCACC